ACTTAATACAAACAGACATAATTGCGAAATCCACAACTACCCAGATCTTGAAATAGAAATAACCAATGAAATAAAACGAAAATTTTGGGAAGAAATCCATAGAAATACCAACAACAAACTCCGCACCTACAGCAAAATTAAGAAATCCTATGAAGCTGAGCCATATTTGGAATTAAAAGTCCCTTTTACACATAAAAAAATTCTAGCCAAAATGAGGGTCAGTGACCACGAGTTAGAGATTGAAAGAGGCAGATATACCCACCCCAAAACAAAAATTGAGGACAGAAAGTGTCCTCACTGTAATGCAGTGGAAGATGAAGCTCACTTTTTTCTTGAGTGTACTACTTATAATCTAGACAGAGAAACATTATTTGCTGCCTTACCAGAGGTAAATGTGCAGGGTCTAGCAGACGATACACTATCCGCCCTATTAAATGTGTCAAATGAGAGAGGTGTGTCCGCACTTGTAAAGTTTATAAACAGTGCTATGAGAAAACGGAAGCTATCCAAATTGAGATAACACCTGGTATTATACTTTAACTTTATTATTACTATATACATGTATTTAAACTTAAGTATATTATAATTAGTAGTGTAGAGAGCCTATAAATGTACACTCATTTCATGTGCTCAATAAATTATTATTATTATTATTATTATTTACTAACTAATTAATTAATTTATTTTGCTAATGACTTGACAAATAAAGTGAAAATATTCACATGTTACACCAACATGACAAAACGAAACAAGATACCAGATTAAGATCATTATAACTACAGCTGACAAAATTCCAAGTATGTAGCAGGGAGGGGAGGGGGGAGGGGGGAGGGGGTTAGGGTGCACTTGTGTGGGGCTGGGGCACTGTTTTGTATCGTATTTGGTGAAATTAAGGATTGAATCCTCCATTTTGTTTGTGAATTTTGTAACAGCTAGACGGGCTGACAGAGATGGGTTCTCCTTGTACATGTAGCTACTGTAGCTGTCTATGATATGTAGCCGTTTATATCATAGAGCCGTCTATAATGATATGATGTGAATACATAAATGAAACAGAGAGAATATTTTAAAGTCAACCTGTATAACTTAAATCGTGTAATAATGGTTACTAGCACTATGCTTTATGTAGCCAAATGAAACACAACGAAGCTCTGTTTTTGCTCAAAAGTAAATAAAATAAAGTCTGTATGACTGAAAATTGTCATTTATTAATAACGAAAAATAATAAGATAAAAAGTTACAAAATTGGGCGGATAATCATGAATCCCTCATACTATATAACTGCCATAATATGAAAATAATTACGTAGGTTAATGAGTGCAACCAAGATTAATTGAGCAAAATATGTGAAACCGCAACAGCTATTGGAGCAAAAAGTTGGCACAAAAATAAAGGCCTGTTTGTCGTGTGGGCGTCCAAAATAGTTCCGAACATTGAATATTATGCACGAACAACCCATTGCTTGTTATGTTATTTTGAGTTAAGGTTGTTAATGAATTGCTGTGAGGATAATAATATCAAAGGACATATTTATCGCTGTTCCGGCTCAGCTTATATTAAATCGTGGTATTAAAACGGATAATCTTCTAATTAATTATGCGCAAACGCCACGTTCACACCTAAGAATCTTCAGTAGGTGTGTATTCGGAAAGAAAGCCCAATCACTGGCATTCAGTTGCAATTCCGGTGCTTTTAAACCGACTTGACGTCAGTGCGACGTCTAAATGGCGTGTAGGCGCTTTTTGTCAATTGAAAATTTTTGGAAACGAAAAAGAGATAGTAATTAGTTTACAGCGTAGCCACTTACCATGCGGTTGCAGTTATATGTATGACGACTAATACAAACATTTCCATCTCTTTCTCTTGCATGTTTTGTGTTAATTATAAAAATACATTTAAAGATAAAAAACGTAAACCCAACGTTTGATATAAGTACGACCACATTTTTCTTGGCAGGAATTGTCAGGACCTCCAATTAATTGCGTGACATAGCTTACTGTTAAATTCTGATTTATATTACGACAATTTTCTCCGCCAGTAGACAATATTTTTAGTCCAATATGATTACAAGCAATGTAGATATTTCTCTTATATCCCCTGACGTCATGGCGTTACGCAAAGACCATTCCACACATACATGTATGTGCATCATGAAGTACATGTGCTTTGCATAAAGGTACCCTATACTGGATTTACAATCCTGAATGAATTTTCCTGGGGAAAAAGAAATTTTCATTTTTAGGTTTCTCCCTGCACTTGGGTTGCGTTGAATGTTTCATTCTATTTTTGATTTGATGATTTCGTTCTAAATTACTGAGCAGTCGTTTAGAACGCCTTGTCTTTTTGTACATTGCAGAAGATACTATCCACAGGTGCTTTAATTTCAAGGGTTTTATAGTTTTTAATTTGGTAACATAAGCAACTTTGCAGACTTAGAAAATATGACTTTGGGGAATTTTCAAACCCGTATAGTGTACCTTTAATAGATACCTTTTAATAAAAATTGACCTTTTCTGCGTTTGCCTCTGTGTAGCCTATTGCTCTACCAAGATTTGATAACAAGATTTGACAGGCAATTTTTTGGGGGGTTCTGTAAAGTCTCTGTAAGAGGATAATTGATGCTCAAAGGACGTGTTTCATATTTAGAATTTAGAACGTTGTTTGAATTGGTTGTACCCCAAAATGTTTATTTTTTCCGAAGCATATCTGGTGACCCGTCTTAACCATTAGCTGCCTGAACACAAGTTATGAATTCCTAATCACGAGGCATTATTTTGGTGTGGTTCTTTCAATTCAGCAGTGAGACTCAAACTGAATGTGTTTTGCCGTCAATCTTTGAAATGCGATGCACTGTGTTGTTTCCATACTCAGTGTACACATATAGAAATTGGTTTATTGGTTCTTTTTTTCAATTCCAGGAAGGAATGTTAGGGCAGTTACAATAATTAAGTTGCCTTAGAAATTAAACAAGGTGGTCATTTTCAGTTAATAAAATTCCTGTCTATTAGTTTTTCTCGACGCACTTTTATTCTATTAGCTCAGGAATAAAAGAAACGCGCACTGTGGAGACTTTTAGATGACAATGAAAAGAAAGATGGCGTTAGAACTGTGACTGCAAAGTACACAAACCCCTTTCTTTATACTTAAACAAGACAAAGGGCGATAAGAGTTACCAACACTTTTCCCCTTTTCCTTGTGTGAATATTTTACCGCTCCAGAAAATCACCTTTGGTGAACAAAGACAAGTATTCTGAGCTCTCTCAGACCACTACACATTGAAGCATTTTAAGAGAATTTTTGATTTTATCTTTGGTTTTAATATACTGTTTACTTTTTAGATTGAACAACGCAAAAACAGAGGAGAATTGAAAGCCACCCGGCACCATCGTCTTCAGTGCAGATACGACTCCCCAAGACATCATTTGAGCTCTGAAAACTTGCTCTCTGCCACCAAGATATCGACAAGTGCCAAGCGTTGGTATGTATATATACACACATACACATATATAAGATAGTTCATCATTGAAAAAGATGTGTGTTTTAAAGAAAACTGGTGTTAAAACACGTATTTAAAGTAATCAATATGAATACAAACTTATGAAAATATATTAGGAAAAACAGCACAATTATAAGTCATATCACATATCTCTTAATCTATTTTACACGTTTTTTTTTTTCGGTTTTATGGTCACTTGTTTATTGGCAGGCAAAAGCAAAACAACAAGTCATACCCTGCAATAATTCTGGATTATTCTCGTTTAAAGCTTTCTCTTAAAGCTTAAATGCACGTCATTTGTCGTGTTTCAATTGTTTTATTAGATAGATTTAAGCCACCTCCCATCACGTGTTGTTCTAGTGATTATGACTTTCTCGAAATCATAAGAAATATGTAGGTGAAAAAATTTGTTTAGTAATTCAAGCAATTATTTGAGCTGTTAGTGGGTCGTTTCTGTTTCACAGCTATTTATACGTGACAATAACATATTACCTTTGTTTATCTGACGTCTTTGAATCCCCTGATTCTCATGTGTTGCGGTAAAAGTGTGAAACATGCCGATAGTTGAGCGGTGTAGTTAAAAAGGAAACGTGACTTTTTGGGACGCCTAAAAACTAATGCAAGGATAATTTTTAGTCATTTTCAATATTTTATCCGTTGTTTTAATACTTCAGTGTTCAACAAGAGAATTATTTCTTGAAATTATACACGTGTATTGGTTACTTAAAGACCTTGAGCGTGCAGAGCGTGACTGCAGGGGCAGAAAAACACGGCAGTCGGGATGTATAGGGACAACATGAATCAGACATTAGGCTTAACAGTTTACCTGTCACTACACCGAGATTTGCCCTTGAGAATATCATATAAAATTAAAATGAAATAGTAACAACAGTCCATAAGGAAGCAGAGAGCTGTGGACGAGAAAGCTTCAGTTTCAGGACCAAGCCAATTCCCATGAGTTTGTTCATTTTATGTTAATAAACATCTACCCCTTCCCAAATAAAAATAAAGGAAAAATCAATGATAAGATAAAACAATGAGCTGCTGTATTAAGACATTTATGTAATTTACTTTGATCATGGATATGAATAGTTCCGTGACAGTATATTTCAGATATGTCAGTTGAAGACCTGTCCTGTTCCTCGCACAATGCCACCGTATGACACCCATACTGGTGGCCTTCCTCGGTAGCCGACCTTTGATAGGGTATGATCAACAAATTGACCGCTCCTTGAAAACCGATCATTTCTCGTTGTACATTTTGTATTAACTTAAAGCCATCACCAGCCTCCCTCTTTCCTAGTGACGCAATGAGTTTGTCACGTGTGACGTGCGCGTGTCAAACTCACCCCAGGGGGCAGGGATGTGTTATCAAGGCGAGATCAAACAGCTTACTCACTATAGGAAGATAGAAACAAAACGAAATAGATAATATCGTCTTAACGACGGCGATTAGGATGGTTAAATGCGAAAAATGGAGAATGATCATGACATGGATTGATTCTTTCTCAGCTCAGATTGGTGGTAATGGGCCCATTGCGACTGCTATTCTACATTCTGATATTATATGATAAATGATACAAGCACCCAGTGCCCGTTATCTGTTTGTATATTGCCGCGTGTGCGGCCTGTCTTTGAAAACTGTAGGGAATGCCTAAATGACGCTGTTATCTCAAAAACAGAGCAGTTCTTGAGGGAGATTGTTAGAGCGACGGAAAACATTCTTTAAACTCTTATCTGGTTCTCGGTCCTCCTTAATGTTCTAAACGATGTCGTTGTAAACGTTCTTGCTCTGTGTTGACCTGCAATCATGGGTAACACAGTGGATTTCGTATCTACCAACGTCCCTCTTAATCCGTTTCTAATGACTATAGAAGCACGTTGACTTCATTCATCATACAGCCTTCTTTAAGATATCTCCTCAGAAAAGTCCTCTTGTGTATATCGTTTTAATGTCAGCGAGCAAATTCTTAATCCAACGTAACAAAGACAAATGTGCTATCGTATCGCAGTGAAACATACTCGCGGAAATAATTCCAATAGGATTTAAACAGCATGCTCGGATTTCAAACGAACCATCGATGGAATTATATTTGTTCCATATTTTGTACTTTGTTATTTATGATATCACAGATAGTTTCTTAAATTCTTTGTCAAATTTTTTAACATTTTGTATGTAGTTTTTGTTCAGACCCATTGGTCATTTGCAGTTTTGGCAGTAGTTTGTATGAATGGTTTGAATTATATTTATATTAATAGTACGTGTCTTGATCGAGCATCGGCCATTTTTGGGAATGATGTGGCATTTCAGAATAATCAGTATACTTCTTTGATGGCCAGGCTTTTGTCTCTGTCGATAGTCAGCTAATAATACATACGTATGTAAGGTGTTGTCTGAATGTTTTTATTTCCGTTCTGAATTAAATTTGCACAGGACGAAATTAAAAAAAAAACTATCATGTAATCCAAAAGAGGCTGAGCGTATTTACAAGCCTTAGTAAGCCCTAAAACCTCCGTTTGTAGTTTGTTAGAATACTACTGTAACTCTTAGTAATAACATCAATCTTTTGTACTTTTGATGTGCTCTATATGCTGGTCAATACATCTTCATAACGTTTTATCTTCTCACGTTAATATCTACACCAATTTCGAACGATGCTCACAGCATGGGATGAATGTGAAGGTTCTTTTTCTTTTTCAACAGAAAGTATTTACTTGCTGGTTTTTCCCTTCCAACTGGTCGATCACAGTGTTGTTTGTGAAGAAAAATTCTATTTTCTTTTCAAGTAATTATTTGATTAATAAAGGTGGCAACTGCACAAGCTCTGGATAGCTGACTACAACTTGCCTGACTGACTCTTAAGTCATTTTTGTCTTTATAAAACGGGTGCAAAAAAGGATAGAACTCGAGTTACCATTGCCTTTTTCTGTGCAGAAAAGGGAAGCATCTATAGGAAACTATTCATTAATAAAGCCAATCACCTTCTTATAATCCCACCCGCGTTTTTGGGCAAATGAGTAGATTTTTCCTCTGTGGTCCCGACTGTGCTATTAAAGTGATGACAGGGACGCCGTGAGATACTAAAACGTTTACTTCTTACCATGTCTATGTATTGACGTACAAAATGTCAGGAAATATTCCATACCATAGCGTGCTCACGGAGCCCGTGGCGTTTGCTTGAAGATTAATTTAGTTCGCACAGATTTGTTTCCCAATCAGAACGCTAGCGTAGTAATGTAGTTGGACACCTCTACAGAATATTCCTACGGCTCTTTGTGGAACGCGTGGCAATTAGGATAATGAGGCGACGAGAAGGAACCTGAAAAAGTTATTGATAAGTAGCTTATCAGAAGTGAACAAAAGATTTCCCTTTTCTAATGGCAATGTGCCCTTGCATAAATGTCTGCTTCTAATTAGAGTTATTTGAATTCTCTTCTGAACATCTCCCTATTCTAGCTAACTAAATACAGAAGAAGTCCTGCAAGAAGTTCTACGTGCTAAATAACTGATTTTCTTCAATTACAAATACTTTGATAAAAAACAACTTCTTGCAATTTTGTCTTAGTGCTTTATTGTACAGAGCATGTAGGCTTCAGATTTCAAATAAACTTTATCAAATAAGTTAAGACAATATCCCCCCAGAGTCTATTTGTTATGTTCCATTGACCAAAGTGTGTGATCAAATCTAATGAGAAGATGTTTTGAGAGGAGCACGAAGCCAAATTGGATAATGTTATATTCAATACAAATCCAGATCCTTGTCTAATAGAATTATTGCAAGCAATGCTTATCATTACCCCCAGGAAAGTAAATCCATCTAATTAATAACACAGGCTTTGTATCAGGAAACCCCCATTTCTGATTAAACATAAACGCTAATATAAAGAATAATAGCCTAGAAAATTAGTTGAAAAAGAATCTATTTGCCTCATTTGAGAAAATCTGTACGATGGTAGTTTTTGTAACTTTGTTAAATGCACACGGATCACCCTGTCCAATGGTCGTGACTGGCTCGCGTCTGGCGTCAGGGTGAATAGAACGGTGCAAGACATGTACTTTAGGCTAATTCTACTTGAGATTAAACTGATTTGTTGATTCTGATCAACTTCAAGCCAATAATTGCATTACCGAATGTCGTGAACTTTACATGAAGCATATAATTTATTTTCTTTTCGTTGTGTGAATGCCTTACATATTTGGCGTGGAAATTTGATGTTGGAGTAAAGTTTTATGGTTCATATTGTAGACGTTCATAATCCTATCACGTACGCGAAATGCGCCTTCCTTGTAGACTTTCATGCTGCAAGAAAAAAATTTAAGACCCACCGTGTAGACATGGCATTAAATTATCTCAGATAATGCTATTGATCACGACGGCAAAGACATGGTGTATTTTGCTTAAATCTTGTTTTTCTCCAAAGAGTCGCCACAATTAGATCAGCACATATATACATCAGATCATTTTCGCTGGGAATTCTGATAATACATTCGGCGGAGAAGAAAAGTAATGGCAATGAGAAGGCTCTGGTCAACTTTGATTAAGAATACGTTTCCCCTTTTTGCTATAAACCTTCATTCCCGTGTAAAGTGTATATTTGCAAACATTCTCTAATATGATATTTTCAACCGTATGTTTACCAGATTCGTACGTTAATTATACATATATAGGCAAATGATGAAAGGTAAAAACTGCTTCTTTTGAGCAGTGATGAAGAAAGCTCTGTTCTTAAAGCCTAAAAGAGTCCTACAATGTCGAGTCATACTTCAGGGGTTCTTCAGACAATTTCTACCGATACGTTTCACCTGCAAGATTTTGAAAGCAGTGAATGTATTTAATTTGTGTATAATGTGAATAATGGGTTTGCGACTTTTTTAGATGAATAATGGGTTTGTTAGATGATTAATGAGTTTGTGACTTTTTTACGCCGAGTTTGTGTCAGCAGCAGTGGTTTTGGAGGTTAAGATTTGATTGATTACAGTAGAAGAATAAGGAACACACAGATAGGTATAAAACATACATTATTGTGGACATAATGATAAGTGTTAAAACGGTTGAAAACCAATAATAAAACTGCCACAACATAGCGACTTTGATCTGCTTTGTTATGTTCGCGAAAAGGATCAATTCAGTGCTCTTAGTACATATCCACAGGCCATATATGATTTTTAGTAAACACGCTTCTCAAGACAATCTGCAGGTAAAGAGGTATTGGAAGAAGCACATTTGCTTACGCTCTAAATATATATATTTTACGAGGCATGAAACAGAATCAAAACGTGAAAAGCAGCGCTCCTAATACCGTGTATTGATTCAGTATTTTTGCTACATGTATTTCGTGTTGACAAGTAAGGTAAATTGTTTTGTTATTGCATTTTAAACAAACCAACTCAAGGTTAGCCACAACCAGGCGCTTATGTATGTTTTACCGTTTCACTCTTTTTGTGAAATAACAAATAACCCATCCTACCATGTGGATAAATGCAGTGTTGTAACAATTGTTATAATGGTCGGTTACATCGCTGTCAGGATGACACTTTTTATCTGGAAGCAGGTATACACATATTTGTTTGTGTTTAGGAAAACGTAGACCTGTTTATATAAAGCAAACATGAACATATACAGGTAATCGTGGAGGAATAACTCAGGGGTCAATTGAATTATTATATTAGAACACGTCAATTTATTGTTTAAGATAATCAGGAAAAACGCACCGCTTGCAACCGGTTAGAATGCCGATTTGATATAAATTGATAAGCATAATAAAAGGATTATTTTTTACTGCCAGGGAAACACAATAATTTCAAATAAATCTTCTTCCTGGACTTCTAGATTTAAAATTTTCAAATAAGCTTTTTGGAATTGACATGCAATTAATTAGAAATGCATGCAACTAAAATGAGATATATTAACGATGTACAGCATTATAAAAGTATATAATGTCTCCATCCATATGCGTACACAAGCCCATACATGTCTTATAAATAAAAGAAGTGGTTTGAAATCTCATGTACATATACTCTACCCGCGTCAATAAGCTGATGTGACCAAATGATTTGTAATAATAATAGCTCAGCCACTTGTAGTGACTTCATGCGCGTCTCTCCAGATAGCAGGAAAAAAAATGAAGACTTGCTAATATAAACCCTTCGCGTCAAAGAAACGCTGCGTTTTTGAGTAATTGCTCGCGTTCTCCCCGCAGAGGAGTAAACAGTAGCACGGTGCTCTGGGGAATAGGAGAGCAGCTTTATAATAAGAGGGCAGCTGTATATAAGCTACGAAAAAATCCACAAGCTACATTTAGGGCCAGAAGAGCACAAAGACACCATATTTAGGTAGAACAGGAACCACTTTGGTTGAGGCTAGGGAGAGCACAGGGATCTGACACGGTGTCTTCGGGTAGGTAGACAAGACACAGTCAAGAATTCTTTTTAAAATTTAGAGACATTATTTTCCATTCTCGTACTTTTAGAAATTCTTTTCTCTTTCGAAACAAATTAAATATCAGTCGGATTTTTTATGAATTTTAGACGTTATCCCGCATTCGTTACACATAAACAATCAGATAGTTACGTGATTGAGAATAATGATCCCAGATTGCTTTCCCCGCTCTGCAGCACCGCTGAAGGAGGGATCGCTTCGTTTACTAGGGGCGCAATGATACCTAAATGAGGCTCCAATAATTGAACAAAAGCCTCGTTAAGTTTAGATTTGTCGATGGGTTTTGTGCCAACAGGTGCATTTTGAACATTACTGCATGCGTTGGTATTGGAAATGCTGCTTTTTATAGCGATTTTCATCCTTGGACATACATTCATCTAGAATCTTCGGCTATGAATTGTTAAGTTTATATTTTTCAATTTACATCTAAATTTTAAAAGCTGGTCATGTCTCTGGTTGTAAGAAACTATTCAGAACTTGACCATTTAAGGACATTTTCCAGGAAGAAGGAAGAAAATATGATTGTAATTACACCGTTGGCTCAAGTTGTTCTTGCCGTTAACCCCCGGGGCTACATGACAGCCAGGTGTAATCATAATATCTACTTCTAATAGTTTGTCTTAAAGCGATTTTAGTTCAAACTATGCTGGATGCAGTACATGGCAGGGGATTGGGAATCCTTCCATACCTTTCTTCAGAAACCCAATCAACTCTATGTTTCGTTACTGTGTTTTTAGGGATACAATTCGTTTGAAACAGTGGGCATTGGTTATTAATGATGATGAGATTATTGTAGGGCTATTTGTTTCTCAATTAAGTCTAAACTGTTGTTTAGTACCTGACTGATAATCTGACACGCCAGCCCGAATTGTAGTTAGTGGCATTCGTTATAATTGAAGAAGGCAACGATAGCGTGACGGATGATTAAGCCGTGAAAAGATTCCGGTAAGCTTTATGTGGCATTTAACACGCCACGTATGAAATGTTAAGATAGGAGGATTATCTGTAATCCAAAAGAACTACACCGAAATACGTGTCTCAAAATCACAGCAGATAGCGAAAACTTTCGGTTAAGAATGTAGAAACCTGAAAATGAATCCAATAAACGCCAATGATTAAAAATTCAAAGTACATTTATACATACACAAAGGTAATAGTTAGCGCTCGTAACGGTGAATTGTGAAAAAGTGTGTGTAAAACCCAATTAGAACATCCGAAATTTCAATTACACTTTAAATACCGTGTAAAGGTCGAAATGACCATATGAAGTTCTTTTTCTTATGTTTTTATGCGCGACACGTATTCCTTTAATTCATTCATATCTTAATCATTTCAGTTATTTAATCCCACAGATATATGTATAAACCGCCACACCCAACGTGAAAACGTGGCGCCATTCTAGTTCTTTCAGAAACGCAAGCGCATTAAAAACATATTATGTAAACGCAGTCAAATTATCGTCAGTTACAAGTGCCAAAAAGTTCATTGGCCGTCAGATAATTGCATCTGTGACGTGTGCTCAGGTTTGTGCCCACGTGCACGTAATGGACAAGCTTTTCTGTTGTTTTATTGGAATTTTAGATTAGAGGAGTTCTTAAATCGTTTCAACGTTTCCTTGTTTCTTTATGTGTAATATAATGCCCATGCCTACAGGTATAGTGGTGCGGTTCGCTACGGCCATCATTAATTATACAAGTAGGTGTTCTGGTTTGCGTGACTTGTATAAAAGCTGAGAGATGTTCAGTATGTCTCACTGAGAAATAAATCAGTGGATGTATTGAACCTAAGTAGCTTGTTTTTACCAGGCCAGGGAGCGAGGTGACTTGGGAAGGGGTGTTGTTAAGAAGCCGACAGAGGCTCTGTAGATTATCAAACGGTGAATTACTTTTTATTGTATGAACACTAGCTTCCAGATTGAATCGGGCGATCATCACTGACACTTATTAACCTCGACAAGTTGGTTCGACGTTAGTGGCTATCTTTTTGCCTTATTACCCATGATCTCACAAGGGGGAATTGTAGTGATTAATGTGTTTTTTCATTGACTATTACTTCAGGAACACGCGTGCCAAGCTGAACATGCCGGCTCAACGAGAGGTGCTCTTTTCGATCATCTTCTTCGTACTGCTGTTTGCTCAACAACTGACTTTAGCCGCCGACACAGATACTAACGAAGAATGTTCTAAGAAATGTTCTGATGACTTTGATAGAATTGAGTGTTTGAAGATTTGTGTTTCTAACTCAAATTCAACTGAGAACGACGATGACGACGAAAAAAGAAGCGCGTTTTGGAGGATAGGGCGTGGAGACGATAAGAAAAGTGCATTTTGGAGAATTGGTCGAAGTGGCGAGGACATGACCGATAGTGACAATGAAAGAAAAAAGGCTTTCTGGAGAATAGGAAGAGACCCAAATAAGAAAAGTGCCTTTTGGAGAATTGGTCGATCGGACAATGATAATGACGAATCCAAGAAAAGCGCTTTCTGGAGAATCGGTCGAGCGGACCAAGAGTTCGCCCCGCAGAAGAAGAGCGCCTTCTGGAGAATAGGCAGATCTGATCCGTTCGACAAGAGGGGCGCATTTTGGAGAATCGGCAAGAAAAGTGCGTTTTGGAGAATTGGGAAAAAAGAGGACTATGGAAGTGAACACGACGACGACGATAAAAGAAGTGCCTTTTGGAGAATTGGAAAACGAAATGACGACAAAGACATGAAAAAGAGTGCGTTTTGGAGAATCGGACGCAGCGAGGCTAACTCTCACACTGACGATGAAGATAAGAAAAGCGCTTTCTGGCGAATAGGTAAGAAAAACGGCCACCATATACAGAAACGTGATACACCTTTTTGGCGCATCGGTCGCTCAGTAAGCCCCATTTCACCGGGTTTCTTTGATGACAGTGACGATTGGAGAGACGGCCTCGTCGTGGGTGACGACGATGATAAGCGCAGTACATTTTGGCGGATAGGAAAGAGGCCAAACACTTTTTGGCGTGTCGGCAGATCAAATGACAAACGGACTTTCTGGCGTATTGGCAAACGTGACCCATACGGTGATGAGGACCCGACCAAGCGTCTGAACACATTCTGGAGAGTTGGCAGGAGTTTCCCAGCTGACACCGATCATGACTTACAGATTCGAAGTTTCTGGAGAATTGGTTAGAAATTGATACAAAACAAATTTTGCTTTGATATCGAATTGTTTATTACATTTTACGCAATGCCGCTTGGGTCAGATTTGGCATATAGAAAATCACTGTCATGTAACCAATTACGTTTATTATCGACTAAACCCTTTTGGTTTGCAAAGTGACCGGCGTTTGTGGACAATAGACGTATTCATTGCTTATAGAATGAAACACGATTTCCCTCTTTCGACGATGAAAATCTTGTTATTTTCATTTTTAAGATGAAAGAAAACGAAAAGATTTTTATTAGACGAATCCATCGCACGACGCCATTGCTAATCCTATAAAGTATTATGTCGTGATGATAAATCTCTTTGCAATTCTAGATCTTTCGCGTTTACTTCAAAATTCCTAGGGAATGAAACTGGAAAAGAATGAATTCCAGCATTGTCTTTAAGTTAGAAAACAAAAAACTTTTGTCGCAGCATTAGTTACAATTAGCACCACATGAAGCGGTGTAATATTACTGTGTAATCACTTTCTCTCTACTTCTCAATTGTATCAATACAAAAACGCCTATAGTGTAAAGGTAGTCGTTAATAATTTACGTTGAATATCGACACGACTGTGTTATATTGTAAATTATGTAGTATGGCACTTGTAAATCAAAAGACACTTTCTTGGAAGAAGAAAATTCCAAGACACCAAATAAAAACATTATTTTTGAAGACCGTTCATTTGGTACGTTTTTCTTTGACATTTATTTTGCTATGCTGGAAAAAAGTTGGCCATTAAGCAGTCCACTGGGTGCAAAAAATCGATGTTGATTGATAAGTATCTATAACTGACATTCATACTAACTTTTCTTTGTTAACGGTTCATAGGAAAACAAATAGGCAACAGATGAAGCAAGTGTAAATTTTGTGTATTCCACTCACGGTAAACGCTGGGTTATTCTGATCACTTAATTTGACTACCGGGGCCTCTTGCTCTCACATGTGCTCTCGGCCGTACGTGCTTTTCTATCTTTAAACATTATATTGACCCATCATTCAATGCTTAATAGTTTTGAATCAAATTTCATGAATAGAAAACGATGCCCAAAAAAGCTTGTCTTTCAATCATAATCTGGAAACCTTTTTCATTTTATGTTCACAAATGTTTTATAAAGTGCGACTATATGTTTGCACGACATGATTTCTTGCCGTCAAGGCGAGATTTCAGTTATCTCATCATTCCCATCAATTTGAATTACATGTCATTTTTTTATTCAATTTGATCTAAAAGACAGGTATTAAGGCAATAACAATGACCTCTGATAATAGAGAGCCCTGTAAAATATGAGTAAACCGTGTGGCTTAAAACGGCGTCCCTGGGGAAGTTGGAGGGTCGAGATGTTTAACAAGCAAGATTTTTAACAGCTGAACCAATTACAGTCTCCAAGCCACAGGATAATCTTTAACTATACATTGATTTAACCACGCAGCCGTTTATAATTAATTCCTAGAAAATTATTCTTCGACAGGTAACGTCCCGTGAAGAAGAAAGAACCATAGAAAATGTAATTACTGCCTTGCTGTTCAATTATCTATAATCCAACCTTTCCAATTGCCACCCTCGGAGGATGTGAAGGTTTATTTGAGTTCATATTTGACAAACAAAATGTGTTTTTTGATCTACACATTCATTTTAGTGTGATCCGTACGGTCTTTCTTCCTTGAGTCCAGAGTGGTGCCTTATTGACCGGAAGTTTCCTCCTGGTCATGATTGCGGGCGTGGTCAGTTTGTTCTCCAATAAATATGGACGCCAGTGGCAAATCATGCAGCGATCCTATATCACCTTACTTGTTGATCTCATTGTTCGAGGATTCAACCTTGTCCAAATAAGAGTTTTCAAATTGAGCTGACAGTTCAGTGTATTAATCGTGTATCAGAGCGGGTTTTCCAGTCTGCCTGCTGACATGTCACCAAGAAACCGCGATACAGCAAAATAAAACAGATTTGTTGAGGAAAGCACTTGATTAATTGAATAAATTTGCATTAAGTTCGCATGACAATAAATGACATTTTCATTAGGTTACAGAAATGTATTTTGCAGAGATTAAAATCACCCGCAAGGCGAACGACATTAGAGCAAGCTGTGACATATTTAATCTAGAATTTATGAGGCGTTTTCATAAATAACAACACGGTCATTAATTCCCCTTTCTACGGAGCTTTGTTAGTATCATATTAACTTTTTTTTATTTTCATATAAGTTTTATTTTATGGAATTTTCACCGCGGTGAAAATTATTTTCACCGCGGTGAAAATAATTTACACCGCGGTGGNTGTCTCAGAGCTAAACACTGTTTTTACAGTGTATACCCTTAAATTTTAAGGAACATAAAACAGAGATTGATGAACCTGTCATTTTAATGAATGTGCATGGGTCCTTGAGAAATGTAGAGAACAGCAGAAGCACATACAGAACTAAATGGACATCCAGCCATATGCATAAATATAGGTCAGGGAATCCAATTAAAAACTAATTCAAGGCCCCACACACTCGATCAGGAATCCTAGTGTTTAACTGCTGTTGTGTCTTAACACAAAACTAAAATGTTTATTTCCCAAAAGCAGTAATTAACATGTGTGTTTTATGTTAAAGAACAATGGGACTTGGACCCTAGGATTCTTGAGAGTATGGGGTCTTGAATGAACCGCGGTGAAAATTCCATAAAATAAAACTTAAATGAAAATAGAAAAAAGTTAATATGATACTAACAAAGCTCCGTAGAATCCAAAATTTACCAGATGTCTGGGAAGGAAGTTGATAAAGACAAGCACATGCACATGCACGCGGTTTAACCAGTCTATGTGCCAATCATCCCAGGAATGTGGAGGAAGCGGGCAGTATTCGAATAGATTAAAAACCACCGAAATGCTGCAATGTTGTACGTCGTTTTTCCCTTTATAATAACTTGCGTATTATTGGGGATATTGGTAGAAAGAAACCTCTCCGAAGAAACCGAGATTACATCTATTAAGATAAGATCTATGGGCAAACACATCACACGAATATTTAAAAATACATTGTCCAAAAATAACATTAAGTATTTAGTAATTACAATGGGATTCCCTTTGCATAAAACTGCAAGCGGGACTTTAATTATATAGGTGGTAAATATAGATGGGAAACCTTAGTTAACGGCAGTGGCCCCACGAGCAGATCCTCCAACCTTGTGTGTATGTAACAATAGTATGCACCGTGACGGCATCTGGCAAATGTAAGGTTCTCATTAACTATTCATCACCCGGGCCGAGATGGCCAGGAATTACCACCGCGGTGTAAATTATTTTCACCGCGGTGAAAATTATTTTCACCGCGGTGAAAATTCCATAAAATAAAACTTAAATGAAAATAGAAAAAAGTTAATATGATACTAACAAAGCTCCGTACCTTTCCCTTAATTCAGAATGTACATCACGCCTTCTGTGACTGTCACGTCAACTGACATTCCATAATCAAAAACGCAGACCACAAACAGAAGATGTATTCAAATTTATTCTGCATTGTATGATGACGTAAAATCAGGAATACATGTAGTGAAAAACAAAATTTACCAATTTTGAAGGTAAATTTCAACAAAAAGGGAAATAACAATATCCATCCTAGGACTCAATTGATGCCTTAATGCCCTTCATCTGACAAGTGCCGCTGTAGAAGGCAGTGAAGCCAATATCGGGTTTGTCCAGCATCCATCCGCTCTGGTTAATAGCAAACACTCCTCTAGCACGGTGCTCGGCCGTGGTGACGTCATTTCCATGCCAGACCTAGGGACAAATATACAGTGTTATATACAATACGTTATAAAACTGATCTAAGATGACTTCATGAAAAACGAAAAACGAAGAAAAGAAAAAAGATTAACTTAACATAAAAAAAGCAATTTTTATGCCTTATTTTCTTTTATTCTTTGTTGCTCAGACTTCCGATCGAAAATGAACGCGCCCATGCACACAAATACGCACGCACACAGGCACGCGCTGCAGAATACGTACGTTAAGGTTCTGGACATCACAGGGCAGTTTAAGGATCACTTTCCAGTTTCCAGTCGGTTTGGGGTTTGGTAGCATGATGAGGCCATTGGTACCAGTGTCCCAGCTAGAGGGAATATTTACCTGCAAATCTGCAACATAAATTAACTTATCTCAGATGTTACATCATTGCCGACTGTTCTCTACGTCACCATGTAATTGAAATATAAGTGAACCAGGCAAGTGAACCAGGCAGCTTTACAGTTTTTTAATAAACGACACTTTTCCAGGGCGATTTATTCCCGATATTGTATATTTTATATAAATAAACCTTTATCTCTCTTATCTACCTTGACTTCTAAATAATAATAATAATAATAATAATAAGAGACCTTCAATTTACGATATGATTATCAATTGTCACGGGGGATTATATCATTTGACGTCTTACAGTTTTCTCACTACTAAACCCCTTTTGAGATCTTGGCATACAGCATACATATTTTTCACAAGTTGGTGAACGGATTTATAGGAAAATCAAACATGAATCAAATCAGGGTCTGGTTTAAGGAGATTAGTTCCTGCCTCTCCCACACAGTCTGCAGCGTTCCTAATTCCTTTAATGTAAAATGGCGTGAGCGACACGCGAAGCCAGTTCTTACCAAACTACTCGGCTATAATTGGCTTGTACTGAGAAATAAATCGTCTTCTGTATATGGAATTTTCAATTACCAAAACTTTTGGTTGGGGGGAACAAAATCAGAATAGTTAGTCCAGAAGCTAAAATCGGGGAATCCTACTAAACCCATCTTTTAGGATAATACGCTCTGTGTTTGTCCATGCATCAAAAGTGAACTTAAGAACGGGCATAACTATCTCCTCGTTCAGGTCGGCTATGTCTTCTAAAAGACTATTTGGGGAATTACGGGAAGACATTGACACGCCAAATTAAAAAGACATGAATCCTGATTAATCTTTCCTGTTTTTCCGTGTCACAAATGTCTGAATGGATGGCCGTGTCAGTGTTTTGCCTGTTCTGTTCTTCAGAATTACCGTACCGTGCCCTCTGTGAAGTTTTGACTTCAATATCTAGGCATCATCCGGGGACAAGATTCGCTAATTAAGCACGCATTGCCTAATGACATCCGCCTTGATTGATTATACTAAGGTACTGTCAGGAAAATACCGTAGTTTTGACTAATATTTTAAATAAACCTAACACCTAGTGGTGGACCATTTTATGAATCATCTGTCAAAATTGGAACATTTAAACAAACATAAAAAATGCAATCTCGGGACTTCATGATTCAGGAATTGACGTGTTTTCATAACTCCTAAGAAATACATATCTATGTGTAGAGAAGCGAATTTCTAGGACATACGTGACTTGAATCCACACAGCTGTTCTATAGTCCAATTTCCGGGTTAAATTTCAAACGGAAACGTATGATCACTACGCCTTTTTTAACCCTCATTTTATGTCTTTTGAGAGCATTTCTTTATCACACTAAATCAAGATTCGTCAGAAGCATGATAACTGACAGCGCACCTTGGATCATGATATATGCTTCAGCTGCTGTACCACGACCTGCTGAGTCCTTTTCTGTGTGCTTTAATTGGTTGTGAAATGTTGGCAGCAATACGATTTTCTCCGACAGATGGAAAAGACACAGCATTGCCTTGAACTGGCTACACGAACGCTACCACAGCAATTTGTAGCACAAACGCTAAATTAACGCTCTGTTGCAATGAGACGGGTCTAAAAGTACGTTCTTCGAAATTTTCCAAACATAATTTTTGTCAATACAACAGCAAACAGCAAGCATGTCACCGACAGATATTTCAATTACGGATTCAACAATTTAATAAAGGAGTGAATTAAAGTGCCGTTGCCTCCCCCCACCCTCGACCTACAATATACCTTATACACCCCAGCTGTCAGAGAACCCCCCTCCCCCGTCTCACACACCCTGTACAACAACTCACCTGTAAGAGAAGTTTGGGGACAGACGCCGGCGTCACAGGGTCGCGTCTCCTCGTCACTGCCGACACACATGCTGCCACCGTTCTGAGGGGCGGGGCTGTCACAGAAACGAACGCGGCGTTCAGTCTACAGAATAAAAGAAATACTATAAATCACTCTTGGTCAGTTGGTAAAGTAATTTGACCAATCTGGTTCTTCAGTGTTCCTTAAAACTACTTTACATAAACTTACAGCTCAGTGGGAACTACGTTTTTCATTAAAACACGCTAAAATAGATAAAGATAGAACATGATAGGGAATTACAAATAAAGGAAAAATGAATGTTTTGAAACTGTTTAAGTTTTGTATTTTGGACTTAATTCTAGAACTACGATTGGAAACGTATGTAAACGCTCACTCCAGTTCCGCAGGTGGCCGAGCATTTGCCCCAGGCTTTCCAAGGCCCCCAAGCGCCATCTATTGCCGGGAGGAGGGGTTTCCCAGTAACCACAGTGACAGCTGGTTTAGAGGGGTCTACTGGCCTTGGGGTGACAGGGGCCTGTGTTCCAGTTGGGGGTTTGTACTGCCCATACCCGGACACAGGGACCTTCACTCCAGCCAGGTTGCCTGGTTAAAAAAAGAAAAAAAGAAAGAAAGAAAGAAAGAAAGAAAGAAAGAGAAATAAAATCTTGTTATACAGCTATGCTTATTGTACCACTTCAGGAATAATACAGCTATTATTTCTATTTATTATTCATTAATTTTCAAGTTGCCTAGTAAGACATTTCCCTTTACAGTAGGACTCACATTATCACCCATTGGGTAAAACTGTCGCTATGTCAGCTAACCAGCTACAGAATCTGATTAGAACGTTACCAGAACGTTTGCGTAACGTTAGCGTAACGTTCTAATAATGTTCAGTGATTGCTGGGATAACCATACAAACATAATAGCTGGAAGTCGGGACATTTTACATCTGCAGGTAACTGTATGTATGCAGGGTGACATGAAGGAAAAAACTTATCAGAAAAACTTAGAATGTCCAAGGCAACAAAGAGAAAACATTATTAAAGACTTGGCTTCCAAAGCGGTGAGGGAGGTGGGGAGTTTTGTGGCGATATGATTGAGACTCGGCCATCAAGATCCCACTCACTTGGGTCATTGGTGGAAAGTCCTCTTTGCCTCAATATGGCGTCCCTTTCGCTCTTGGTGTCAACCACATCTGCCTCCCAACAACTAGTGTAGAAGGAATTCTTGTTAAACTCCCACTCCCACACGAAGGTGTAACGCCCTGTCAAAACATAAATACCTGTGAATTCACATATTGTTGCTTATTATTAAAAGATACGCTTCGTTTTGTAAATACTTAAGGTCACTGGATACCTACTAATACAAGAATGTGATTATACCCTAAATGTCTTTAGATTTGCAGTGGAATTATAAAAAAGTTAATTGTCTGCAAGTATCAGTGAAATCATTCCCACTTTCTATGTAATGTTGGCTCATTAAAAATCAATGTAAAGTAAAGTTATAGTTTCTCAAAAATGGTATATCTAGTTTTTCTAATTGATCTCAGACCTGCTGGCATCTTAGGGAAATCAAATGCAAATGTCCCCATCGCTTTATCTGTGCCCTCGCAGAACTTGGGGGCGTTCTGGTAGCCCTGCTTGGGGTAAGTCTGTGTGTCCGCCCCCTGACCCACGGGGGACACGCCCAGATCTACCAACAGGTTCTTCCTGAGAACTGAGAGGGCCGGGTCGGTGTTGCCGCTGGAGAAGAAGATTTTGTTGGCGTTGTCTGGTATCCATGGGTTGGTGCACTCCAAGTCAGCGCCGTGGTTCTGGGGGTGAAGACATTGTAGAAACATGATCCATAGAGTGATGATGCTCCGTACAGGTATATATACAAGTATACATATGTAACTAGCCCTTAGAAAGTAAATGTTAAGTGACATTAGTGTGTGTGTGTGTGTNCATCAAAGATGACGATTTGCGATTTTCATTTAAATTTTAAGTGCTGATTACCGTGAAACTGATAACAACAAAATTTTCTTGATAATATAATGGTATTTTAGAGGTGTTAAGTGTTTTTGTTTGCAATATTGGGACTAGCATTCATTGCAGGTTATTTAATATGAAACAACTTTTACTGGACGGCAAACTCCCAAAACTGGCAGCAGAACAATTAAAAAAATGACATTGAACATGACGATGACACTGACAGTGACATTGACAATGGCATTGAAAGACATCATGGATATAAAGCCAGATTTCTTACAATAAGTTTTAGAGAAAAAAGCACATCGACCTACTGATTGCCACAGAGTAACCTGAACATGAAATCTGTATGTTCTGAACATACGGGGAAATTAAACACGTTTTATTTGCATTTTGAAACCATTTAAAATTTTTAATACTACATGTCTTGCAGTTTCCAAAGGTCAAATATTTATTACTAGTCGGATAATGTATGTAAATGTATCTTCATTAAAGAATAGCAAATGTCATTATTATAACGTAATTGTATCATATTGTTATATTATTACCTTCGTAATATGCACTGGAACCAATAAAGAATGATATATTGATAACAATAAAAAGGCGTTAATCTCAGATTAAATATAACCTAGACTATCAAATCAGCGCCCTAAACGTCACGGGATATACACATGTACCTGTACTGCCATCTACTGGAATATCGTAGCTAGCTGTCTAATACAGTCTCTCTCCTTTTTATCAGACCCGGTAAATTTTAACTGAAAACAACCAAACCTATCCTTCGGCAATTTTAATTAAGACTTTTTTGTCCTGATACATGTGGATAATCATCTTTGCTTCAATTGTGTTTTGAACTGTTCATCATCTTTTACACTTAACAGAGTCTTCCAATGTTGACAGGCAAGGGCGTTTCACTCATTTTCATCTTTTTCATAACAGAACGAAATTAAATCATTGTTGTGCGACATCGCAATGCGGACAGCACAATAATTATATCAGTTACTTACGATCTTTTGCAGCATATCTGTTGGCCGCTCTTGGGTAAGCTCTGCATATGTCCGGCTTGTAGTAGTGCCCGTTCTCCTCCAGGTAGTCAGTACAAACCAGCCACGAGTGGCCACGGACAACACTGACCACCAGACACAGAGGGACCAATAACCGCAACATTTTCTTCCAGAGCAGTGGGCGACGCGGGGTCTTATGATGTGAAACTTCGCCAGATGTTTGCTTTTATTTCGTAAGATGAAGAGATACAGTATCAGTCCCAGGTTTAAATAAGGGAACGCGGGCCTGGAAGCCACGTCAACATTTAGGTTAACAAGCTGTCCAGGCATGACGCACCTGTCCTTGGAATTAAGTTTCACGTTAAATAAACCAAAAAGTCGGAGTGTGAATAAGCTTCTATACTGCAGAAAATACTTATCAAATACCAATAGGCCCTTTGCCGTGTATAAGTAATGTCAAATTGATCCGTTTCCTGTTTTAAAACAACATTAAAACGCACCGTCATGAAAAAAGACCTCTCTGACTAACGCTGCCCACAGATGTGATAATAAGACTGACCAAACAAACGCGGAACATTGTTCATTACGGATGTGCAGCGTCACTCTTACGTCTTCACAGGATCTCAAAGAACGCTTGAAACAGGATGCGAAGGTTTTCAATGATTTTAAATTCTAAGAATAGACCAACGTTTGTTTTTAAAAGTACAAATTCAATAAGTGGCATATTGAACACATTCCCAATACAAACAGCGATCAGCAAGACTTGTATGGGAAAATCGTGTCCTGGGTATTATGTCGGACAACATAACCTGAGTAACCGCCTACGCATCAGGGTTCATCCTATCGCACGGGAGGGGGGGGGGGAGTTGTTATTAGAAGGCATTGACAAACCTTTTTATTTAAAAGTTTTGTTATTGAATAGTATTATAAAGCAAAATACAGTATATGCTTCAAAAACATCCCGGCTGGCTCAGGTGAAAAGAAATGAAAGCCATCAAATAGTAGATATCAAGCGCAAACAAATACATACAAGAGAAAATTAATAAGAATAATAATAAGAATAAAAATTAGATCAAAACTGTATAGAATGCAGTGTTTTTGACGAATGCGCATCTTAAATTTAAAGCTTTTGAGGCTTTTTCAGTAAACTACACCAGGAGCAAATAACTGGCGAAAGATAGTCTGTGAAAAATAACTTTGAATTTGCTGACGCCTTCCACTCTTTGATCTTAAGGTTTCACGTCATCGTCGCCTTATTCACCAAAACATTGTATCTGACACATGCTGCACAACAAAAATGATTTCAATATTTTACACAAGATATGTGTGTCATATTTCGATACATAAAAAATCGCTCCCCGTCTTACCGTCAACAATAATTTTGCATCTCACCATGACATAAAAACCAGGTCAAGTTTTGACATAATTTGATGACGTAAAGAATAAAGGTGGACCTTAACACATAAGATATAGAATGCATTGCTTCAATATACATAGTCATCATCGTGCAAATAACAACCAAGTGTCGTCTATTGCTTCCTTAGTGGTTGGAAACCAAACTAGCCAAGTTCATGTGTGCTTCAAATAAATATAATGATGCACATATTTATCCCATCAAATATCTGCAGCTTACATCAAATAGAAAACTACAGAATCATTTCCGCATTGTATAGCTGCAACAAACCTTCTCGAACACAGCCTGTCGATAAATCGTCTCGTTTTTCAAAAATTTTAATATCTTCTTACTTGATCAAAAATAGAGTAACATCACCAGCAGATCACCGTGAAAAGAAGTCCACTAACAACTTGCATTATTACATTCATGTGTAGTATTTTGAATCAATATGATGAATATATAACAATTTCAAACTCAGGTGGCTATTGTTTTTATTATGCCATTAAAATAAAATGATACAATGATTTCTTACACAAAGAAAACCATACGAAGAAAGAAACCAGTGCAAGTGATTTTCTATATAATCTATCATAATAAATATTGTGTTTGCTTGTAGCAACAATAATAGCAGTCCAAAAATTAAAATCTTGGTCAAAGTAAAATGCGAAAGTAGTATAAAGTATTATAAGGACCCCGGCACTTCCAGTATGAACAGACATTAAAACGGGCGTTCTGATGAGACTGAACTATTTACACTATGAATCAATGACTTTCTTCATTAAAATAATGTTCAACAGTTCTTTGATACTTCACTATCTACACTACCGCCATGCCGGCACAGAACATGTGACAACACTATAGCAATTGTTTGTTTACAAATATAGAGAATTATTCTTAAATTCTTTTTAAATCACGCACAGAATGTCTCTCATCTCTTTACAGGTGCCATAATTATGTCACTGCCTCTGTACAATATAAAATGACCAGGAATTTCAGTTTCTATAAATCACTTTTTCACTATGCAGCCTTGGCTTCAGCCCTGTGGATTTACTACACTACCCTTCAATTAAACTATAAATTCCAACTATAACTTATTAAGTCACGCATATTTTATAATGTCTACTACCATATAATGGACCTTGTACAGTATCCTGGAACTAGACATATAATATAATAAAAGCAAGAATTTTATTTTTTCAGCTCAGGCACCCGTCTAATTCACAATATTTCTAGCTTCATTAATTACTTGTACATAATCAAAATATTGTAGCTTTCTCGGTAACAGTTCATTGAAAAGGTTAACTCCAAAATGAAGACAGCTTCTTGATGAGCAAGTATCAAAGTTTCAAGTCTATTGGTATCACAATGACAGGGACTTAACAGCTGTTGGTCTCGTTGTCTTGGAGTGTTAAGAGTTATTTTTGACCAGTACCACAGTGTGTTGACCCCCTGCAGACACCATCAATGCCGACCTGGAGAACAGAGAGCAACTTGTGACACACTTTTATCACTGTTATATTATAACATAGGCAGAAAAAAAAGGCACAAAACATAGGCAGAAAAACCTTATATAAGACTTACTGAATAAAAAAGCAATAATCCTGGGTTGCAATCATTAATACTAATCTTGAACTGGGAAACACTTCCCAACATCAGATAAAGACTATAACATTGCAACGTAATATTTACTTTTAATTTATTTACTCTTTATGAATATTTTCACTAACCGTCCCAACTTCTATTGTGCTGAATGTGAACCTCACTTTCATAAATATAAATCCACTTTTTCATCTTACCAATAAAAAGAAAATGTTCCACAATTAATAAATACTATGACTTTACTAAAAATTAATAGTCATTTCAATTTATCAAGTATTCTTCAAGTATTTATTCCACAATAAGAAACAAATGTTCTGTTTCCAACCATACCTGTCTTCTAGTTGTTTTCCTTGCATCTGTGTGGGTTCCCAGAGATCTTCCTCTTCGTCTCCTGCTCCAAGCTGTTTACTGGTGCCCATGCCCCAAGAAAAGATCTCACCTGGGGAAGTCAGCAAAGACACAATTAGATAAATTACCTCAAAATATCAGCCTTCACTCTAAAAGGTTATATATCCTGTAGGATAGAAGTATATAAATATCTTAGTTTATTTCAAAATAGACTGCAATTTTTTAGTTAAAATTTACTTATGTATATAAAAGTGTATATAAAAAGAGGCAATTTTCATAAAAAATGACATTCTGTTGGTCTCTGTGAATAGATATTAGGGTATTGGTAAGTCATTTTTTTTAACAGAAATATTACCAAAAAATTTTGAAAATATGCAAAAAATGTTAGTGTAATGTGGTTAAAAAATAGCAAGAAAAAGTGGGTCGGTGTAGGCATTATTAAGAGGAAATTTCTAATTTACTTCTCACCTTTCCCTGTTACAGCAAATGACACAGAGCCCCCTGCAGCCACATCCACACAGCCTTTTCCTGATAAAGTTTGCACTAATGTTGGCACCATTTTCTCTTCGTGATTGTTTTCCCCGAGCCCAAGTCTGCCGTATGTAGACCGCCCCATTGTGTACACTTTTCCTGCAGATAGAAAGATTTACATTCAGCCAAAAAAGCGGGAAATCTTTGAAAAATCTTTGTAAGTTTTAGTAGAATTAAAAAATATGTTTTCTCTTTTTCTGATGTTAATTATTGGCAGTATTTTGGCAAAACATGTATACACTAACTTAACTAGATTAGAAAACTCTGGGAAAAATGTTGCAGTGCCATGAACCAAATGTAAAACATCCTACCACTGTTGTCAGTACAAACATCTTCATTTGTGGCCACAGGGACAATCTGAAGGGCAAAAACCACAAACTACATTTCAACTACATTTTTTCCCTTACCTGACCCGTCTATAGCCACTGTATGATGTTGACCTCCTTGAATTGTCTTCCAGTCTTTGGAAAATGAGAAAGATTCCAACTTCTCGGGGACGAACCTATTCTGCATGTCATCAACTCCTGGTGGAAGACAATATAATACATTATTATAACATGGGTCACAAAACAGATTCCTTTTCAGAACTGAAATGATGTTTTTCCATCTGTACTTGTTACATCTAAACATGCTTCATCTGTCTTCCTTTATTCCATAATTATTTTTGTATCCATCCAAAAAAGCAAAAAAAATCCTTGGATTTTCTTTTTTGTTCTTATTAAAAATGATTAAAAGAAATTTTTTTATTATTTTGTCATCAATGCCCATTAACATTAACACATTATTAACAAGCATAAGGTTCGGATTTCACAGAACCTGCTGTGGAAATTGCTCATTTGCAAATAAACAGGAGAATTTGAAATCTACAACTTGTACGTCTGCATGGCTGCATATTACATGTTAAAGAAACATCGACAGTAATACTTTCACCCTCATCCTTACCTAACTGGTAGTAGTTGTTCAAGCCCCAGCCGTAGATTTCCCCAGACTGTTTGATCTGAGCAAAGGTGACATAGGTACCCGCCCATATGTCTGAGAAGACCACCTTGCCCTGTCCACGGATCCTCTTACAGTGGACAACACCGGGACTGAGAATAAAATCTGAAATAGGAGGAAATGACCTGGGTAAAACCAATTGTGTCTCCTAATTATGTCAACTGTTTTTTCTGGCCTTTTTTCAAATGCCTTTGACGTGCTTGTCCCCTCCTAACCAATTTAAACAAGGCACTCTTGCATTCTTTCCGACAAAGGGCTCAAACTATTTTTAAAGGGTTCTTTTGGTTAATTTTTTGGCACATTTTTATTTCTATTTATTTATATGCCCTGCATCAATTGTTTACCTACCTAAACCTTTTCTACCACCCCGACTAGCAAAGCATTCTGCCACTCTTCCTAGCTGTCCCTGCTCTGCATTGCCTGGTAATACATTACACACCAGTGTCAGAATATGATAGGAAAAGTAGATAAATAAATTAGTAAATAATACTAAATTAATACATAAATAAATAGAATGAAAAATTAGTAATAATAATAAACTTCTGATACTAACTTAAAACTTGGAACTCTGCTGATTGGTTACTATGAAGAAAATAATCATCTTGTGTTTTGAATACACATTCACATAAAGTCTACATAAAACATTGACTTTCTGAACTAAACTATGCATTTAATTAGCCTTGACTGTACTTCTCTATCCAGAATACTTCCTGGTTTACCTAAAGTGTAAATGATTCCATCCTCTCCCAGACAGACTAAGTGGTCACTACCAGAGACAATCTTCACCACAGCACTGTCCAGGTTGATTTCAATGGGCCTCTGCTGGGGACCCTCCACAGTGAGACCTATAGAACCACTCGCATCCTGTAATAAAAACATGAAATGAAAAAAACATTGAATGAAGAAAATACTGCTCTTCCACTCTGATGAACAAGAAATACAAAAACAATAAATACCTTCAAACACACTTCAATACCATTTAAATTTATTTCAAATGTGATTTCAATAGCTATATAAAACAGTCAGCCAACTTATAAATGCCTTTCTTTTAAATATCACAAAACAACATATATATCAATTTAAATTAAAACAGAAGTTCCTTCCTTTCCTATTTTAATTTCTCTTTCAATTAACTTTATCTAGTGAGAGAGTAAGCTCACCCTGAAATTCCCCCAGGCATAAACTTTCCCGTCTTCTGTGAGGGCAGCAGTGTGACTGTCCCCAGCACTGACTTGGACAATCTTATATGGGAGGTCTGTAACTTTAGCTGGGGAAGCCTCGGACCCTTCTTCTGATGTATCTCTACCCAGAGAGCCATCATCATTACAGCCAAATGTGTAAACCTGAACAGAGAACATCAAGACTATTTATAATGCTCTTAAAGTTATTGCATTAGAAATTACATGTTGCTATATGTTTTCCTTATAACTACACCTGGAATAAAAAATATTGAGACTTTAAGCGTTCTTTTTCTTTGCAAGGGGGAAACCCTGGAGAGCTATTTTAATAATTTTAATATTTTAAAAAACTGCTTATGACTGCAATAACTCTTTCAGGTTAATAGATTTGGACATCTTAGCCTCTGGAATAGTTAGTAGTCACTGCTATCTTAAATATAATTTTTTTCATGCTTACCTCTCCCTCCTCTGTCAAGCAAACTGTATGCATTCCTCCAGCCACAATTTGTATAACATTTGGAGGCAGATCTACTTTTCCTGGTCTTTTCCTCTCAAACACATCTTCCCCCAAACCCAGCTGGCCGACGTCGCCCTCCCCAAGTGTTAAAACTAAACCTTTCTCTGTTCTGTGACTTCTGTGAAATACTAAAATAATAATAAAAATTATAAAAAAGTATAAAATGAAATATTAATTACAACAACAGTATCTGCTTGCTAATTAAATCCTACTCAAGTGTTTTGAAACTTTGTAAATAAGAAATATTTCACATCACATATTAATTTTTACAGAATTTTATTGTTTTTAGAAATACTGAAACTATAAAGTGTTCAAGATCAAAAATGGGAAGCAAACACTAAATGGACATAATTTATAATCTTAAATACCTTTTATTCTTTTGGCTGTCTCTTCAATGACAGTTCCATTTTCTTTTACTGTAGAAATGACCCTTTTTCTTCCTCTCTTTTCAGTTGGTTTGGTTGACTGCACACTGCTCCTTTTACTTGGCATGTTTTACTGAAATATCATTATACAATAAGGCTTATTTTATTCAAAAGAATTACAAAGTTCATGCTTTACAAACCAAGTGAAAACTTAAAATAATAATAATAGAATATAAAATAATGATAAAAACTATGTAAAAATGAATGGATTGTAATGACAAGACCTGGATGACATTTGGTGACCTTTAGCTGTGCAGGCGTCCATGTTGTCTTTGCACCAGAAGTCATACGTGTGCTCCTTCAAAGTTAATCCAAAATAATGGGGTTATGGTACTATTCAAACTGCGAGCTTAGTTCAGAAATGTTTATGAGTAAAATTCATTTAACTGTTTTTTCACTGATTAAAGATGTCAGAGCTGGTATAAATTTAAAAAGACACAGGCACAAAAGCACACTGCTGATTTAAAATTGAATTGAAAGGGGCAAGTCGAGGAAGAGTCATAATAAACAAATGCGAACATAAATTAATGACACCTTCATTCAATTGATTTTAGGTAAGAATCAATTAAGTAAAATTTATCAATGGGTTGAGACTAGGAAGATCTGTCTTAAAGCTTGTACTTACGTTGTATTACCACGCCGATTACTGTTGTTGGTCTTTACCCACGTTGTTGAACTGACCGGCATTTATATTATTACGATATGCGCAACTTCCGGTTTACCATCTACTATGAACGTAAATAAATTATCGAAATACAAAAATTGCATTCAGAAATGAGTAATTCATATAATCTACACAATGTCAAAAATAAATATTTTCTCTTTTAAGATGATTGTAAAGGCATATACAGGTAAAGGTAGGTAATTCTCAAAATTTGTCGTTATCCCTTTTATGAACATGGTAAACCGGCGCCATATTGTGACTACAGGCGCGTTGTTGAGATGGGAGACCGCTATAATATCCACAGTCAGCTAGAGCATCTACAGTCTAAATATATAGGGACCGGCCACGCCGACACAAACAAGTGGGAGTGGCTTACAAACCAACACAGAGACAGTAATGCCTCGTACATGGGGCATTTTGATATGCTGAACTATTTCGCCATTGTTGAAAACGAAGCCAAAGCAAGAGTGAAATTTAATTTGATGGAAAGAATGCTTCAGCCTTGTGGCCCTCCACCAGAAAGACCCGAAGATTAGAGACGGAAACTGTGTAGACTTTTTTAGTGTGTCCACTGGCTTGACTACAATTAGTGTATTTGACAGAAGAAAACATTCTGATATAGCAGAAAATATTGCCCCTGTCACTGTGCTGGACAGAGCCAAAGCAGTCTTTAGTTAGCACAAACATTTCTGTAAGCCATTGTATTAAACATTTGAATATATAGCATTTAATGTCCACAATGGCAATGAATGGTCCAATATGCCCAAGTCTTCTCCCTAGGCTTGTGGACCCTCTGTGGTTTCAAGTGGACAAACCATGTGATGATGAGAATGAGCTCTCCAAGCTTGAAGAAGAACACAGAGACTGGCTGCAGAGCATTGCCGATAAAGACAAAGATATCATTCCTATTGGTAAAACAGCAGCAGAGCATTATGATGATGAGGATGATGAAGAGGATGGTGATGAGCCTGACAGTGGGTCGGGTACAGATCCTGATGAGTTAGATACAGACATGTTAGATGAGCCAGACAGCGCAGATGACGTGGAGATGGAAGCCAATGATAACCTGGCAAATGACTCTCCATCTTGGGATGTCTAATGTAGCAATATGTGCTGTTCATCTTGTATCAAATTGTTGTTTTTTTTGGTCTAAATAAAGATGAACAAAGCAGAAATATCGTCTTACAGCTTTGCTGCTGTGACTTTAAGTTTTTAATTTCAAGACTTAATTTATTTTTCACAATAATATAGAAGTCCTCAATTGGTCAATGTGAGAATGTTGATAATGGTTATTCTGTTTAAAAAACAACTGGAAGTATGTAGAATACATTATATAAGAAATCTGCAGACATTCATGGTTAAAACAAAGAACTTTTGTAAAAATCCAGGTCTCTCTTTGTTTTAAATCGTGCATAAAGTTCATTATTTTTATGATGCAAATCTTCTGCATAAATAAAGTATGATAAGATTGTGAAATGTGCTTGGCAATCTTTAAAGAGATCGTGTGTACAAATTTGGTGGTGGGGGGGGGGAAGGTAAAATCATAAGTAGTTTATTTCTCTGTACTAATTATTTTGGGTGCGGTAATCGTACCCAGAAATTACCTAAAAGCCCATTCCCATGCCTAGATCGATCTAGCAGGATCGACCCATCTCTGAAGGGTTTCTAGCCAAATTTGGCTAAGTGGCTCTGATGTCTGGCACGTCTACTGAAACTGTACAGGGGAAATAAACAATCTTTTAGCAGCTTCAGTAGGCCTAAATCTGCATGCAATTTGGGTGGGGTCTAAAATACTGAATTACCTGCACTGAAATATATGTGATATGGGAACCACTGTAGGATTGTCTGAGAATCTGACTGGTGTAATGTAAAATCTACAACAGGAGCACTTATTACATAACCAAATTTATTATTATACAAAAGTAGAAACTTACACAATGAAAAGGTTGATGACCTCTCAAATAACAAACAAAAATGACCTTTGAAACTGAAACAGTTGCTAATTGGCACGAGATAACAGTACGAATTGTGCCTAACAATCATCTAACAATTGATATAATGAAATACAACATGAGAGGAGGGTGAAAGTATACCAGTGATTTGCAGCACATTACCTGCCATTAATTTACCTCCAAAAGAACTGCTTACATTATATTTGTCCCAGAGCCTGTCCACCCTCACCTTATAAACAGGTGTGGCAAGGCACCTCCACCTCCTACTTCATTCACACAACATTGCTTAATAAAACTACTTTCAGGGGGATGTTTAATAACATCTGTTTCTTTCTGAGATCAATGAGATTTTGTACATTCTAATCATACTTGCTTTGTATACTTGTAAAGTTTAAAGCTGGAATATACCCTTGGCCTTCTATCCTATAACTTCAAGCAGTGTTAGCTTTCCTTCCATTTTAAATATTTCAACTGTAAATCAGTTTTGAAACTGTATCCAAACAGTATGAACATTCATACTGGGAAAAAATGATTGACGAAATCCAATTTTATACTTCAAAATCTCTTATCTTTTACATTTATAGTAACAATAGTGTTTGACAGTAAGTTTTACTGCATCGTTTTTGCTGCATTATTTCCAACTATGGTTCAATGTAATGAACATTGGAGTCAAAAACAAGTCATATGCCACGTGAGAGAAAAAGTAACATCAATGTATAATCTATCCCATTTCTGAAACTCCTCAGTCAAAACTGGCATCTGAGCTGAAACTCTCGTCACCACTTGACTCAAATGAGCTGCACTCGTCTTCCTCATCCAAGTCTATTGATTTTGTAATTTTTGGTTTCTTCCGCTTTATTTTAGTGGGGCCTGATACTTCCACTGCGGCTTCTGGCAGAGTCTTTACAGAGGAAGGAGGCTTGTACATTTTGTGCTCGTAGACCAGAGGATAAACATGTTCAATGGCAGACTGCACATTGGAAACACGGGGAGCTAGAAAATAAAGAGAAAACTATCACCACCTGAACACGTGATCCATGTCATACAGAATGATCATATAAATTATATGGTCCCAGTATATATGTTGGCGTTCTGCATACATTGTACGCACAAATTCTTTTTTAATTACCAGAAATTCCGTAAGACCAGAGATCATCCTCTCTGTAAAGAACTCAGAGGCAGACGTTACCCCTGTTCATTATCTAATACAGTGTCAGGTAGCACCAACAATTTTCTAGCTGTATTGTAAACCTCTTGTATATTTACCTGTAACAGTTATACTCCCTGTGGAAAACACTTTTAATGTTGCCTTTGGATCTTTTATTTTGTACGTAACTCCTGGGTGCAGTTCTGGTTCATAACTAGAAAAGAAACAAGGGGGTCATGGTGTAATTAGATAAACAATAATGGAATGATTTCACTAATTCTAGAAAACTTTATGTAAACCCTTGTGCAGATGTAGAAAAGGGGGGGGGGGGTTAACTGTTGGGACACAATAGTTATTAACAACTTTTACAACCTGACCAGATAGAGGAGAACTGGGTAATGGCAGACAGTAATTCGATCAATGCATATCCTTGAGCAGAGATGGAAAATATTTATCTGAAAAGGCAAACTCTGTTTTACCTGGCGTTATTTCTGTTTTCATCTGAGAAAGTTTGAATCCTGATTGCGAAGGGTAAGATGCAGGTGGCCAGTACGTTGACAACCCTGAAACTAGCAAACTTGACGTTGAAGCCCAACTTTTGCAATGCCCTCGCCACCTTCCTACCAGCCTTCTTTGCTTCCTCTTCACTGAAAATAAAAGAAAATCCATCCTACTTATAACTTCATTAAAATCAATCTCCCTCAAAGGACACAATGCTAGTACATGCAATTCACTATGATAAGAATATACATCACATGTAATAAGATATATGTACAAATACTGTCCTTCCACATCCCTGAAGAAGATAATCTAGTGTTTATAGGACAGTCAGTGCCAGCCATAACCTATGCGATATATTTACAAACAATGACTTAAGATAACTGTGTTTTAGTCCCATGTCATCACCTTGTGGCTCCAGTACATGTTATCTTTCCTGATGACCAAATACTGGCAGTGGCTTTTGGATGCCTTATCTTCATTGACACCATCTGGAAAGGAAGCAAATAATAANCTGAAACTGTGTAGACTTTTTTAGTGTGTCCACTGGCTTGACTACAATTAGTGTATTTGACAGAAGAAAACATTCTGATATAGCAGAATATATTGCCCTAGTCACTGTGCTGGTCAGAGCCAAAGCAGTTTTAGTTAGCACAAACATTTCTGTAAGCCATTGTATTAAACATTTGAATATATAGCATTTAATGTCCACAATGGCAATGAATGGTCCAATATGCCCAAGCCTTCTCCCTAGGCTTGTGGACCCTCTGTGGTTTCAAGTGGACAAACCATGTGATGATGAGAATGAGCTCTCCAAGCTTGAAGAAGAACACAGGGACTGGCTACAGAGTATTGCTGATAAAGATAAAGATATCATTCCTATTGGTAAAACAGCAGCAGAGCATTATGATGATGAGGATGATGAAGAGGATGGTGATGAGCCTGACAGTGGGTCAGGTACAGATCCTGATGAGTTAGATACGGACATGTTAGATGAGCCAGACAGTGCAGATGACGTGGAGATGGAAGCCAATGATAACCTAGCAAATGACTCTCCATCTTGGGATGTCTAATGTAGCAATATGTGCTGCTCGTCTTGTATCAAATTGTTTTTTTGTCTGAATAAAGATGAACATAGCAGAAATAATGTCTTACAGCTTGGCTGTCTTGACTTTTAATTTTTTAATTTCAAGACATTAATTATTGGTCATAATAATATAGAAGTCCTCAATTGGTCAATGTGAGAATGTTGATAATGGTTATTCTGTTTAAAAAACAACTGGAAGTATATAGAATACATTATATGAGAAATCTGCAGACATTCATGGTTAAAACAATAAAGAACTTTTGTAAAAATCCATACGTCTCTCTGTTTTAAATTGTGCATAAAGTTCATTATTTTTATGATGCAGATCTGTATAACTATTAAAAGAATGATAAGATTGTGAAATGTGCTTGGCAATCTTTAAAGAGATCGTGTGTAAAAATTATGTGGGGGGGGGGAGGTAAAATTGTTAGTAGTTTATTTCTCTGTACTAATTATTTTGGGTGCAGTAATTGTACTCAGAAATTAACTAAGACCCCATTCCTATGCCTAAATCGATCAAGCAAGATTGACCCATCTCTGAAGGGTTTCTAGCCAAATTAAATTTGGCTAAGTGGCTCTGATGTCTGGCAGGTCTACTGAAGCTGTACGGGGGTAATTAACTATCTTTTAGCAGCTTCAGTAGGCCTTAATCTGAATGCAATTTGGGTGGGGTCTAAAATACTGAACAACCTGCACTGAAATATATTTGATATGAGAACCACTGTAGGATTGTCTGAGAATCTAACTGGTGTAAAGTAAAATCTACAACAGGAGCACTTATTACATAACCAAATTTATTATTATACAAAAGTAGAAACTTACACAATGAAAAGGTTGATGACCTCTCAAATAACAAACAAAAATGACCTTGAAACTGAAACAGTTGCTAATTGGCACGAGATAACAGTACGAATTGTGCCTAACAATCATCTAACAATTGATATAATGAAATACAACATGAGAGGAGGGTGAAAGTATACCAGTGATTTGCAGCACATTACCTGCCATTAATTTACCTCCAAAAGAACTGCTTACATTATATTTGTCCCAGAGCCTGTCCACCCTCACCTTATAAACAGGTGTGGCAAGGCACCTACACCTCCGACTTCATTCACACAACATTGCTTAATAAAACTACTTTCAGGGGGATGTTTAATAACATCTGTTTCTTTCTGAGATCAATGAGATTTTGTACATTCTAATCATACTTGCTTTGTATACTTGTAAAGTTTAAAGCTGGAATATACCCTTGGCCTTCTATCCTTTAACTTCAAGCAGTGTTAGCTTTCCTTCCATTTTAAATATTTCAACTGTAAATCAGTAATGAAGCTGTATTCAAACAGTATGACCATTCATACTGGGAAAAATGATTGAAGAAATCCACTTTTTAATTCAAAATCTCTTATCTTTTACATTTATAGTAACAATAGTGTTTGACAGTAAGTTCTACTGCATCGTTTTTGCTGCATTAGTTCCAACTATGGTTCAATGTGATGAACATTGGAGTCAAAAACAAGTCATATACCAAGTGAGAGAAAAAGTAACATCAATGCATGGCCCCATTCAGAATAGGGTACTAACTAGTCCAAGGGTCAAATATGGCCGACCCACTTGAATACTTCCCCACGAGATATCTATTTAGTGTCTATTACATGGCAAACTTTGTAGTGGGTCGCCACACTTGACCCTGGGAGTAGTTAGTGGGGCCTTTAATCAATTCCATTTCTGAAACTCTTCAGTCAAAACTGGCATCTGAGCTGTAACTTTCGTCACCACTTGACTCAAATGAGCTGCACTCATCTTCCTCATCCAAGTCTATTGATTTTGTAATTTTTGGTTTCTTCCGCTTTATTTTAGTGGGGCCTGATACTTCCACTGCAGCTTCTGGGAGAGTCTTTACAGAGGAAGGAGGCTTGTACATTTTGTGCTCGTAGACCAGAGGATAAACATGTTCGATGGCAGACTGCACATTGGAAACACGGGGAGCTAGAAAATAAAAGAGAAAATTATCACCACCCGAACATATGACCCATGTAATATGGAATGATCATATAAATTATATGGCCCCAGTATGTATGTTGGTGTTTTGCATATGTTGCACACACACATTCTTTTTTAATTACCAGAAATTCCATAAGAACAGAGATCATCCTCTGTGTAAGGAACTCACAGGAAGAAGTTACCACTGTTCACTATCTAATACAGTGGTAGGTAGCACCAACAATTTTCTAGCTGTATTGTAAACCTCTTGTATATTTACCTGTAACAGTTATACTCCCTGTGGAAAACACTTTTAATGTTGCCTTTGGATCTTTTATTTTGTACGTAACTCCTGGGTGCAGTTCCGGTTCATAACTAGAAAAGAAACAAGGGGGTCATGGTGTAATTAGATAAACAATAATGGAATGATTTCACTAATTCTAGAAAACTTTATGTTAACCCTTGTGTAGATGAAGAAAGGGGGAGGGAGTTAACTGTTGGGACACAATAGTTATTAACAACTTTTACAACTAGACCAGATAAAGGAGAACTGGGTAATGGCAGACATTAATTCGATCAATGCATATCCTTGAGCAGAGATGGAAAATATTTATCTGAAAAGGCAAACTCTGTTTTACCTGGCGTTATTTCTGTTTTCATCTGAGAAAGTTTGAATCCTGATTGCGAAGGGTAAGATGCAGGTGGCCAGTACGTTGACAACCCTGAAACTAGCAAACTTGACGTTGAAGCCCAACTTCTGCAATGCCCTCGCCACCTTCCTACCAGCCTTCTTTGCTTCCTCTTCACTGAAAATAAAAGAAAATCCATCCTACTTATAACTTCATTAAAATCAACCTCCCTCAAAAGACACAATGCTAGTACATGCAATTCACTATGATAAGAATATACATTACATGTAATAAGATATGTACAATTTAAATACTGCCCTTCCATATCCCTGAAGAAGATAATCTAGTGTTTATAGGACCGTCAGTGCCAGCCATAACCTATGCGATATATTTACAAACAATGACTTAAGATAACTGTGTTTTAGTCCCATGTCATCACCTTGTGGCTCCAGTACATGTTATCTTTCCTGATGACCAAATACTGGCAGTGGCTTTTGGATGCCTTATCTTCATTGACACCATCTGGAAAGGAAGCAAATAATAATAATAATAATGATGAAAACCCCTGAAAAATAAAAAACTATCTGGAACAAAAGATGGGCATTATTCTTTTTAAAATCTGACCAACAAGTTATTACAAGATATAAAATATATTCCAACATATAAAATGACACCAACCATGTTGTGTTATGTATAAGTCTAGAGGGTACATGGTTTTTGTATTATATTTCAATTGTTAAAACAAAGGTACTTATGAGACCCCTGTATGCCTGCAGCAAATAACACTGCTTTCAGTTTTTACAAAAGCCCATGCCTGAAGGAAATGTTTAACAGCAATAAATAAAGCATGCAATACTTGGGTACTTATGTGCACACTCAACTGGTTAATGAACCTGGTATACATGATCAAAATTGGTTAAGTATCTTTACAGGAGGATGAAGCTTGGGAATACAGCAGTAGGTGTACCGAGTTTGGATGATCCGTTGTCTTTTACTATTTTATTTGAATTTTCTATTGCTTATTTTTGGAGATTCTGTTTCACAAGCTCACCTTTTTTTTCGAGGCCATTTGGCAGTTTTATGAACTCCCATGAAAAATTAACTGATTTTGATGATTTTTTTGCATGTTAGACTAATATGGTAGTCGACACTCGTGTTCTGGAATTTTTAGGTTCATTTAACTGGTCGAATACTTAATCAAGGTGACAGTCGAATGTGCTTATGTTTATGTAAAATTACATCTTTGAAAAAATTATATCTTTGAAAAATAACAAGCTTGAACGATCAGTCTAGCAAATCTATTCACAGTATTTTATTCACAGCATTGGTTATAAAAGTGTAAATTTATAGAAGTGCTAGCGTGAAGAGTGTTAAGACTAAGTGGTCATACCCCATTCTCCCTCTTGTATTCAACATTGATCCCCTCTGTCGCTATCTTCCTCAGGTTCAGATGACACCTTGTGTTAAAGGAACACACAACATTGTTTATCACAATATCTATCACAGGCTCTGTCTTAGTCTCCGTGTGTTCTTGGCACTGCGTCTCTGCCTCAACAACGATACCAATGTCTGCGTTTCTCTCTGTCGCTGGCTGTTGCTGATGGACCTGCAGCACCTCCGTCATTGTTCTTCGGTTTACACGGCAACATGAAATGTGCTCAGATAATCCCGAATGAAAAAGGACGAACAACTATTCTCTTAGCTCGTCGGTCATTTTCTAGGTAGTTTACCACTTTGAGTTACTCATGATAGACCGGTTTTTTGGGAACATGAAAAGACAAATCCACACCTCGCCTGTTCTAAGATGTCACCCTTTCGGGTATTTCCGTAAATTAAATGACCAATCACAAAGTTTTTATTCATTTTACGGAAAGGTACGAAAATTTAGCGTAGATATCCGTCAGAGATGATGTTTGATTGGCCAAGTAAAGATCACACATCCACGATAAAATTTACTTTTAATACTGATTTAACACAAGCTAATTTGCTCAAACAAAAATATGAACGTGTTTTTATACTTAATTAGTTTGTTTTCATTATTATCTGCTTCTGTTTATGTGTCTTTTCCATTATTGCCTTCAAATTTGATCAGATTGACTTCATTACTTTAAGCCAATGAAATAGAACATCACATCCATTTCTAGGAATCACCAATATGGCTGCCCCCTATGAAATGTATCTTGGTGAGGGTCAACTCGTTAAAAGTTGCCTTTTAATTAAGTAATGCGATTTGGTGAGTTATATACGTGTTTGAATTTGTGCATTACATATGATCTCTGAATCTGCAGTAAATTACACCTGGCTAAAGTGGACACAGAGCGTCGAATTGACCTATGAAATTCAGAATCTCTTTGCATTTTGTAAAATATCAGTAGGAATTTCTCTCTCAGTCTCGAGGAAATTAATAGTGTCTGTTTTAAATAAGAATGGTTAAAACAGTTTGGGATCTGTTGTGAATAAAAGCAGGAAAGGCCTGCTGGGATGACTAAACTGTTCAGGTAGAGGAGCGATATGTAACTCCTGGAAGCGCCGGCTCCAGGTAGTTGAATGCCATTTATGGGCATAGATTTCCATTGCCTCGCCTCCGTGGAGGACGGAAAGCAGAATTGCCAGATGCCCATTTTAGATTAGGGGTTTGGTGAGAGTAAACAAAACCGTGAAAGGATGATTTTAGGTTTCCTTGNTCTGTTTCACAAGCTCACCTTTTTTTTCGAGGCCATTTGGCAGTTTTATGAACTCCCATGAAAAATTAACTGATTTTGATGATTTTTTTGCATGTTAGACTAATATGGTAGTCGACACTCGTGTTCTGGAATTTTTAGGTTCATTTAACTGGTCGAATACTTAATCAAGGTGACAGTCGAATGTGCTTATGTTTATGTAAAATTACATCTTTGAAAAAAATATATCTTTGAAAAATAACAAGCTTGAACGATCAGTCTAGCAAATCTATTCACAGTATTTTATTCACAGCATTGGTTATAAAAGTGTAAATTTATAGAAGTGCTAGCGTGAAGAGTGTTAAGACTAAGTGGTCATACCCCATTCTCCCTCTTGTATTCAACATTGATCCCCTCTGTCGCTATCTTCCTCAGGTTCAGATGACACCTTGTGTTAAAGGAACACACAACATTGTTTATCACAATATCTATCACAGGCTCTGTCTTAGTCTCCGTGTGTTCTTGGCACTGCGTCTCTGCCTCAACAACGATACCAATGTCTGCGTTTCTCTCTGTCGCTGGCTGTTGCTGATGGACCTGCAGCACCTCCGTCATTGTTCTTCGGTTTACACGGCAACATGAAATGTGCTCAGATAATCCCGAATGAAAAAGGACGAACAACTATTCTCTTAGCTCGTCGGTCATTTTCTAGGTAGTTTACCACTTTGAGTTACTCATGATAGACCGGTTTTTTGGGAACATGAAAAGACAAATCCACACCTCGCCTGTTCTAAGATGTCACCCTTTCGGGTATTTCCGTAAATTAAATGACCAATCACAAAGTTTTTATTCATTTTACGGAAAGGTACGAAAATTTAGCGTAGATATCCGTCAGAGATGATGTTTGATTGGCCAAGTAAAGATCACACATCCACGATAAAATTTACTTTTAATACTGATTTAACACAAGCTAATTTGCTCAAACATGAATATGAACGTGTTTTTATACTTAATTAGTTTGTTTTCATTATTATCTGCTTCTGTTTATGTGTCTTTTCCATTATTGCCTTCAAATTTGATCAGATTGACTTCATTACTTTAAGCCAATGAAATAGAACATCACATCCATTTCTAGGAATCACCAATATGGCTGCCCCCTATGAAATGTATCTTGGTGAGGGTCAACTCGTTAAAAGTTGCCTTTTAATTAAGTAATGCGATTTGGTGAGTTATATACGTGTTTGAATTTGTGCATTACATATGATCTCTGAATCTGCAGTAAATTACACCTGGCTAAAGTGGACACAGAGCGTCGAATTGACCTATGAAATTCAGAATCTCTTTGCATTTTGTAAAATATCAGTAGGAATTTCTCTCTCAGTCTCGAGGAAATTAATAGTGTCTGTTTTAAATAAGAATGGTTAAAACAGTTTGGGATCTGTTGTGAATAAAAGCAGGAAAGGCCTGCTGGGATGACTAAACTGTTCAGGTAGAGGAGCGATATGTAACTCCTGGAAGCGCCGGCTCCAGGTAGTTGAATGCCATTTATGGGCATAGATTTCCATTGCCTCGCCTCCGTGGAGGACGGAAAGCAGAATTGCCAGATGCCCATTTTAGATTAGGGGTTTGGTGAGAGTAAACAAAACCGTGAAAGGATGATTTTAGGTTTCCTTGAATTTTGTGCAGAACGTTTTACTGCTTTCAAGGTTGTATAGTGGAGCTGATCACTGTAGGTAAATTGGGGAATATTATAATATTAATTTGCACATTTTCATTGGCAAAGGGTCAAAAATTTCTGGATAGTATTTATAGCTATGTAAAAGGAAAATCAATTTATTTAATCTACTAATGGAAATGTAGCTGATTACAACAAAACATCTACTTTATTTTCAGTCTACATGTACTTTATTGTCAAAATATAAAATATAGTTTATGTAGATATACTGTTTACCAAATGTAATCTTGTGGTGCTATGTTTGCCATTTTTGTAGGTGGGGTTGTAAAATATTCTTACAATTTTTGTTATTTTTTATATCAATCACAGATTTATTAATCTTCATCAGGTGTCTTGCTGAATGCAGTGTACATACAGTATGGTGCTTTGACAGAGGGTTAGTACATGGTGGTATTTCCTGTGTACCACCACCATGGCATCTGAAGAGAATGATGATGACTGGAAGATGAAGGAATTTCTCAAATCAACAAAAAGTGTGCGTGGAGGGTACAGAGTTGGAGCAGGGCGACCCAAAAAATATGTGGGCATGGACAGGAAAGAAGTGAGGAAAATGTACCGTAGGATGCAGAGAAATGCCAGCATTCAGTTGCCTTCATCTTATACACAGCCCTGGCAGAGAGAGAAGTCCAGACTGGGACTCATATCTGATTCACAATTTATTCAACATCTGCTCAACCTCAGGTATGTCTGTTTAGTTACAAGCATAGACAGATTTTTTTTAACCAGCTGCACAGCCAGTTGTTTGATAGATATTGGTGCATTGTATTATTTATTATACTATGATATTTATTCTGCCTTTTAAGCTTGAAGATGTTTCAGATTAATTGAAAATTCATTTCTTCATTTTACAATTATAGTTTGAAGATGTATATTTGTTGAAAATTCATTTTTACTGTCAGTAAATTTTTATACCTCATGCATCTCTATCTTAAATACAGACATAACTCATTACACTGTAGGTAATTAAGGAAAATAATGAAAGGTGTAATTTGTAAAAAAAAAAAAAATTAGAAAATTGGCTTTACATATGTTTTATATTTACAGTCAAAATTTAAGTGAAAATGGCAGACAGCATGGCCTGTCCTCCAACCTGGCGCCCCCTATTTCTCACCTGTCCAGCACCTGCCAAGACGAGGATTCCATTGTAGACAATGACTCTTCCACAGGGAACATTCAGAGAACAAACTTACAGACTAGAATGGTATGTGTTTAATACATAAGAAGTTGGTTATTAACTGTTTTTAATGTAAAAGTTGGTTTACACAATTTTAATCAACTTAAAAGTCATTTTTAATATGTTGAGTTTGTTGTATAAGTTTTTCATTTTAATGGAAAATTGGAAATAAAAAAAGATGCTGTTTTGAACTGTTGGTGTTACTATTTTTTGTGAAGATAGACATTTCTGATATTTATTGTACATAATGTTTCAGATGCCACTTAAGCACAGACAGGCCACACCTTCCATTTCATTATCCAGATTTGTGTATGATGATTTTGATGCTGCTAGAATTGAGATGGAGAAAGATAATGATGGTTTTGTCAAATATCTACTTAAACTACATTATAGGTTAGTATAAAAATTGATGACAAATATTTTACTCAACAATGTAAAGGTGTATTTTTTCCTTTCTTTAAATAATGTTGGTTTTGATTGAGTGTAGCCTCAAAAAATGCCCCTTTCAGTAATTGTCTACTCAAAATTATAGCACATAAATGTCTCATTTCTATGAACAACAATTTACTTATGTTTTACATGCACTGTACATTAAATTAAACTCTGGACAACAAAATTATCTTCTTAGTCGATGACTTTGTCATTTCAAGTATTATATTTATTGTTTCTTTCATCTATTCAGGCATTGTGTTGAGGGTGATGAGATGAACTACTCAGACCTTGGAGGCTCAGAGAGTGAAGCTGCTGAAATGGAAGATATTCAACAACAGGATGCTCACCAAGATAAAGATTGCAGAAATGAACATGTAGAACCTCAAGTTGATAATAGAAATACTCAGGATGAAGTCTTAGATCTGTCCACTGTGCGTGTGAAGAAAGAAGGGGAGAGAACACTGGATAATCTCTATACTAAAACTTGGTCTAATCAGAGAATGGAAGACCAATCAATGTCAGCTACACAGAAAGTAGACATGGACACGAGACACACAGACTCAGTAAATAGATCTGCCAACTACAACAAGAAACTGGTATTTATCAATGCTGTTGATCCGGCTTCCAAAAATACTGCCAATGTGACTGCGTCAACAGCTGCACCAGCCGTTGCCACGGCAACTTCTGGTTATTTATCCCAGCAGCTCAGCACCAGCAAGTTATCCCAGCCAGTGTCCAGTATGGTGGACCAGGTGGGCTTCCCTGTCATGATGGCCACTGGGATAGGCTCCTATGCTTCAGTTAACCAAGCCATCCCATTGTTGGCAATACCCACCTCTTTCAGTCCAAATATTCCCAGTGGCACAGCAGCCTGGTCAGTGCCAGTGAACAATTACAGTAATAGTAGCCAGTCTTCCAGCAGTAACATTACCATGTCAGGGACAGCAGACTCCCCCAGTGGTTTACCGTCCTCAGTGACAGTACGGGAATTGATATATGGAGATCACACTGGTCAGAGAGGAAGGAGAAGGAAAACCCAGTGGACACATTACACTCCTCATCTCTCTACCAGTCACCCTGCTATGGCCACAGCTGCTGTGGATACTCCGTCCAATGCCACATATGACTCTGTCCATCAGGGGCCTGTAAGCACAGCCAGAACTGCTCACAGCGCCCCGACCAGTGCCTTTACTGCCACAGAGAGGTCTGCCTTGTCACAGATTGACACTGCCAAGACAAGAGATGTCCCTCTCAAACAAAAGTCTAAAATTGTTCAATACCAGTTGATGCATCCAGGGAAAGAACGAGTCACAAAAAGTGGAGTTACATTTTGTGAGTTTCGCTTCACAGATCGCCATCTTGTCCAGCCCAAAGTCCGAGGTTATGGAGGAAAGAAGCTGTCGTCCGTGCCTAAGAGATATTCTCCCAGAAAACGCCAGGAGCCTATTCCAGGGACTTGCAAGTTCAAGTTGGATAAAGAGACAGGAGATCTTGTCAGAAAAGAAAGAACTTGGATGCCTCCCATAGTTCAAGATGAACAGGGCAGC